GACGGATATCGTGGAGGAAGCATTAGTATAGGCTAGCGTTAATTAAATAAATCATCACGGCTATGGGTACGGTTCTCGTGGCATAGTCCTGATACATAATCCCCAATTCGGATGCGCATTTCATGTGACCCGACCATAACTTCAAATAATAATAAAAATAAATATGTTGTAGATCGTGGGTACGGTTCACGTGACGTGATTCGCAATGTGTACAAAAGTAAACAAGTGCGCGACATCGCGACGTGTTCAAACAAATTTCATAAATACTAAAAGCGGTTTTAAAAGGTAAAATGTACAATAGGTCTCAAATATGTATTAAATCAGATAATTAGGCCAATTATTAATAGTTGAGCGACCGTGCTAAAACTACGGAATCCGGGAGTGCCTCACACCTTCTCCCGGGTTAATAGAATTCCTTACCCGGTCTTCTGTGTTCGCAAACCATAAATAAGAGTCAAAATTTCCTCGATTTGGGATTTAAAATGAACCGGTGACTTGGGACACCATAAATTATTCCAAGTGGCGACTCTGATTAAATAAATAACCCCCTTTCGATTAATATCACTTTAATTAGAAAAATTCTCATATCCCCTCGGGAAAAAAGAGGTGTAACACCAAGCATTTAATGATCATTGCTTATCAATTGGGATAAGAGTGGAACATCTTGTAGCTCATGTTCACACTCAAAATGGCATCGCAGAGTCTTTGATTAATTGTCTGCAGTTGATAGCAAGATCGTTACTCATGAAAACGAGATTACCCATTTATGTTTGGGGTTATGCCATTTTACATGCTGCAATGCTAGTTCGTCTTAGACCGATAAATTATCATAAATATTCCCCATTGCAATTAGTTTTGGGTCATGAACCTAATATATCCCATTTAAAAAAATTTGGGTGCGCAGTATATGTGCCTGTAGCACAGCCTTATCGCACCAAGATGGGTCCCCAAAGATGATTAGGAATATATGTTGGGTTTGAATCGCCCTCCATTATTCGCTACCTCGAAACATTAACGGGAGATTTATTCACTGCTCGATTTGCAGATTGTCGATTCGATGAGGCCTTTTTTACCAAAATTAGGGAGAGAAATTGGTGAAATCAAACGAGAAATTTTGTGAAAAAATTCATCATTGTCTCATCTTGATCCACATGCCTCTATTTATGAAAAAGAGGTGCAAAAGATTATCCATTTGCAGAAAATAGCAAATCAAATGCCAAACGCATTTACGGATCTGAAAAGGATAACGAAATCACATATCCCTGCAGAAAATGTTCCAATCCGTATTGATATCCCTGTTGGACAATCTTCTAGTGTCATAGCTAATGAGTCAAAAGCACGCTTAAAGCGTGGCAGACCATTGGGTTCTAAGGATCGAAATCCTAGAAAAAGAAAAATAAATTATCAAGATGACACTACGAATGAGTCTCATAAAGAAACCGATGATTTAACAAATCCTGAGATTCATGAGGAAATCACTGAGACTGAGACTCAAGAAATAAGGAACTATCAATAAACCCAATCGGTATTGAGACGGATTTGAATCGATTGAATATAATGGTAGATTATGTCTTTGCATACAATGTTGCATCTAGCATTATGCAAGATAATGAGGATCTTGAACCTCAATCTGTTGGAGAATGTCGACAAAAACGTGATTGGACAAAATGGCAAGAAGCAATCCAATCTAAGTTGGATTCACTTGCGAAACGTGAAATTTTTAGGTTTGTAGTCCAAACACCTAACAATGTTAAACCTGTTGGCTATAAATGGGTCTTCCTACGTAAAAGGAATGAGAAAAATGAGATACAAAAATATAAGTCACGCCTTGTTGCACAAAGATTTTCACAAAGGCCTGGTGTCGATTATGAAGAAACATATTCTCCTGCTATTGATGCTATAACATTCCGTTATCTCATTAGTTTTGTTGTCCATGAAAAGCCTGACATGCATTTAATGGATGTGGTTACAGCCTACCTTTATGGCTCACTTGATAACGAGATATACATGAAATTTTTTGAGGGATTTAAAATGCCCGACGCACATAATTCAAAAGTCCCGAAAATGTTTTCAATCAAATTGCAAAGATCTTTGTATGGTCTAAACCAATCAAGAAGAATATGGTATAACCGCCTTAATGAGTATTTATTAAAGGAATGCTATATAAATGATGCCATTTGTCCTTGTGTTTTTATAAAGAAAACAACATCGGAGTTTGTTGTACTTGTTGTATATGTTGATGACATAAAACTTATTAGAACTCCTACATAACTCCAAAAGGCAATTAATTATTTAAAGAAGGAATTCGAGATGAAAGATCTCGGAAAGACAAAATTATGTCTTGGTTTGCAAATTGAACATTTGGCAAACATGACTTTTGTTCATCAATCTGCCTACATAGAAAAGGTATTGAAACGGTTTTACATGGATGGAGTACATCCATTAAGGACTCCGATGATTGTTCGATCACTTGATGTGAATAAGGACCCGTTCCAACCTCAAGAAAAGAATGAAGAACCTCTTGGTCCTGAAGTATCATATCTTAGTGCAATTGGTGCACTAATGTATCTTGCTAACACCACAAGGCCTGACATAACTTTTTCAGTTAATGTCTTAGCAAGATATAGCTCTGCTCTTACAATGAGACATTGGAATGGAATTAAACACATATTGCGGTATCTAAAAGGGACTACTGATATGGGCTTATTTTGTGGCAACGATTGCAGTCTCGATCTTGTTGGTTATGCCGATGTTGGATATTTATCTGACCCACACAAGGCTCGATCTCAAACAGGCTATGCTTTTACATGTGGAGGCACTGTCATATCTTGGCGATCGACTAAGCAATCAATCGTGGCTACTTCATCTAATCATGCTGAAATAATTGCTATTCATGAAGCAAGTCGAGAATGTGTGTGGTTGAGGTCTATAATACACCTTATTCGAGACAAATGTGGTTCGAAGTGTGACAAACTACCCACAATTTTGTATGAAGACAATGCAACATGCATAGCTCAATTGAATGGAGGATTCATTAAAGGAGATATGACAAAGCACATTTCACCAAAGTTATTTTTTTTCACACATGATCTTCAAAAGAATGGTAATATCAATGTGCAACAGATCCGTTCAAGTGATAATATGGCTGATTTGTTCACCAAATCTCTACCGACGTCAACCTTCAAGAAACTAGTGTACAAGATTGGGATGCAAAGGCTCAAGGATGTGAATTGATGCTCTCATCAGGGGGAGTTAATACGCAGTGTACTCTTTTTTTCTTATAAGGTTTTGTCCCACTGGGTTTTCCTTGCAAGGTTTTTAATGAGGCAACCCAAATAGCGTATTTCTAAACATGTGTACTCTTTTTCCTTCACTAGGATTTTTTTTCTAATAAGGTTTTAACGAGGTACATTATGTATAGACATCCAAGGGGGAGTGTTATAAGAAATTATGGTGGATATCTATCTTCCTCCATGATCTTCCTCTCAAATGCTTAATGACATATTCAATGAAATATTTCTTCATTTTTCATGCCTATATAAAGGCATTGTAATAGATGGAAAGAACACACAATTGAAGGAGAAATAAAATCTCTTCCTTCTCTCTATCTCCATTTCTTGTTCATGTTTTACTAAATTGCTTTTATTTCATAACAAAAGTGATTTTATTATATTATTTCCATGTCTTAGATGACATTTAAGTAAATGACTCGTAAAAAAACTCATAACAAAGATTAAATTTTAATCTGTTAAATTATTTGTTGTATACTCCTTGTTTGGACGTCTCAAAATAAAACCACTGTCATATATAAAGTAGAACTAAAAAATGTTAAAAACTAGAATAGAAGAAATGTTATATTGACAGTGGAATGTATAAAACTTCTTTTTAAAGAGAAGTTTGGACAATTGGGAGTTTGGGACTGACCAAAAATACAAGACCTTTTGTTAGAGGGAGGGAGTAGCTGACAAGTACAAGTTAGTACTCTTTAATTCCAGCATCTTTTGTTTTCTGCCATACCCAACAAGAAGCGATCTAAAATTGGCCAGCTGAGTCGTCATAAAAAACAATTGGCGACATTCTAAGATCGCATCTCAATTGGGCAAAGATGAAGTCATATAATTACATATATATTGTCAATATATGTGTAATATACATATATATATATTGACAGTGACGGACAGTGATCCTAGATATAATTTTATTACAAATGACGTTTCGAGAATTATTTTGAGTCAAAACAATACGTTAATTAGTGTGGCCAAGTTCTAACTTCTAAGAATCCAAGTCACTTTTAAAATATAAAACCTACTTCCTTCTTAATAATCACCGGAACATTGTTATCAGGATCTAACACCACTTTGTCTAACCGTCTAACCACGCATCTTACTCAACATAGCCTTACTTTGAGAGTTCTAACCTATCATGATAAATATCAAAGAAATACAACTGCGTTTTTGGTACACAAAGTAGTTTTCAGAATATAAGTCATTTCTTGGCAAATAAACACCAAAAAATATTTTTCCATTAAAAAGGGGGAAAAGTTCTTTTTTCTTTAATAGTGCATTTGATATATTATTTCTATAACAAAGGAAAGCCTCCTACCTCTCTAATTCTTAAAGAGTGTGAAAGGAAATAAAGATTATTTCGAATAATATTTTCCTTCATAGTTCATACCAAGCACACACTAAGTGAAATTAAAACAAGGAGAAGCAATCATTGTCCTGGCGGAATTGTCAAGTCTCATAAAACCAACACACATTGTAAAGCTAAGGCTGACAACCAATTACAAGCCGGCTACTATCGCATACTTCCAATGGCTAATATCCGCCTACGGCCTGCAACATAACTAGCCAAGTATAAAAGACCAGGATATATATATATATATATATATATATATATATATATATATATATATAAAAGCTAGTTTACGTGTAGGGATTGTACATTTATTGCGTGTTCTAAAAGGTGCTGAACCCTCTTGAAGGGAACCATAAGAAATAATGGGGAATAATAAAGGAGGAATGTTTAGATTTGCTGATAAAACAGACAAGTTGTTAATGTTCTTCGGGACTTTAGGAAGTATGGGAGATGGTCTGCAGATTCCTCTAATGATGTTTGTGCTTAGTGAAGTGATTAATGATTATGGAAACCTAAGTAGTTCAGTTTCTATGCATATCGTGAACAAGGTGAGACAATAATGAACTTGAGTTTCCTCGTAATTAACTGTGCTATTCACTTCTAAACATGCATATCAACTAGAAGTAAGAAGTAAAACCTTATAATATTCCCTCTTTTTTCTTTTTTGGGTAACTGTTTTCTTTTCATATTATTGCAGTATTCTCTATGGCTACTCTATGTCGCAATTGGAGTTGGACTGTCTGCTTTTGTTGGTAAGTGAAGGCTAATCATCTAGTAGTGCCCCTCTCTTTAACACTTGATCACTTTCTAAACTGGTGTGCATATGTATAGAGAATTTCTACTTTATCTTGATTGTACTGTATCACCAAAGATCATATGTACATAAGTTGAAACTTTTGCAGAAGGATTATGTTGGGCAAGAACTGCTGAAAGACAAACATCTCGTATGAGATTAGAGTATCTAAAATCTGTACTGAGGCAGGAAGTTGGATTTTTTGACACACAGGCAGCTGAGTCTTCCACTACTTATCAAGTGATTTCAACTGTCTCAGCTGATTCAACTACGATTCAAGTGACCATAGGCGAGAAGGTATATCCTCTATTGGATTTAAGATATATAAAGTATTGCTCTACATCATCAGTGTGATCTTTGGTATAGCAAGTTACTTGCTAGTAATTTAGGTTAGCATAGAACTCAAACTCCTTCTAGTCCATGCCACCCGCGCTTCTTCCCTTGATCTTACAAATTTCATAACATATAGAAGTGGGAATTGAAACTGGTTGTTGTGTTGCTTACATATCATTAGTTCATGCCATTGCATAATATATGGTGGATTGTGCTTCGATGCAGATACCTGATTGCCTGGCTTACATGTCATCCTTCTTGTTCTGCCACATCTTTGCGTTTGTGTTATCATGGAAGATCACATTGGCCGCGATACCATTCACCTTAATGTTCATCATCCCAGGACTTGGATTTGGGACAATGATGATGAACGTGGGAATGCAGATGATAGAGTCCTATGGAGTTGCTGGAGGAATAGCAGAACAAGCTATCTCTTCTATAAGAACACTATATTCTTATGTAGCTGAGAACCAAACTCTCGATAAGTTCAGTCAATCGCTGCAGAAAGTTATGGAATTAGGAATCAAGCAAGGCTTTGCTAGAGGGCTGTTGCTGGGAAGCTTGGGAATGGTTTATATTAGCTGGGCTTTTCAGGCATGGCTTGGATCGATTCTAGTCAGCAAACATGGAGAGAAAGGTGGTGATGTATTTGTAGCAGGTTTCAATGTTCTTATGGGAGGATTGTAAGTTTTCTTACCTTAATTATAATGCTTTTAGTCTCTATATGTTGCTGGAAATGATGTTAATTAAACTGCTACATTCTTGCAGAAATATTTTGTCCGCTCTTCCAAATCTTACAGCAATCACAGAGGCAAAGTCTGCTGCTATTCGGATAACAGAGATGATTGATAGACATCCAGCAATTGACACTGAAGATAAGAAGGGGAAAGCATTGTCATATGTAAGAGGAGAAATTGAATTCAATGGTGTGTACTTCAATTACCCCTCAAGGCCCGATACGCCTATCTTGCAAGGCCTGAATCTTAGAATTTCGCCTGGAAAAACTACAGGACTTGTTGGGGGTAGTGGTTCTGGGAAATCCACCATAATTTCGTTGCTTCAAAGATTCTATGACCCCATTGAAGGTGATATTTCCTTGGATGGACACAAGATAAAGAAACTCCATCTTAAATGGCTGAGGTCCCAAATGGGTTTGGTTAATCAAGAACCGATCCTCTTTGCAACAACCATAAAAGAGAACATATTATTTGGAAAGGAGGGAACAACCATGGAAGAAGTGGAGAAGGCAGCTAAAGCTGCAAATGCTCATGACTTTATTATCAAGTTACCAGATGCATATGAAACTCAGGTACCAGAGCCTTGCTCCAATAATTGATCTTGCTTTTTATCTCTATATAGATCTGCAAATTTGAAGGACAAAATACTTAACCACGACCAAAAGAATCTTAGTGATGGTTATCCTAATAGTGTACCTTGTTTTCTCACCTGCAGAAAACAGAAAAGCGCATCCTTACTGAAGTCTTCCTGTGGTTTATCACTCTATCGTATAGTTGAAATTGACCCCTTCAAATATTGCAGGTTGGTCAATTTGGGCTGCAGTTATCTGGAGGACAAAAGCAGCGAATAGCCATAGCGAGAGCTTTGATAAGAGACCCAAAAGTCCTGCTGCTTGATGAAGCAACAAGTGCACTTGATTCAGAGTCTGAAAGAGTGGTACAAGAAGCCCTCGATCATGCGTCTATGGGAAGAACTGCAATCGTCATAGCTCACCGCCTATCCACCATTAGAATGGCAAATAGGATAGTGGTTCTTCAACAAGGGAGAGTAATCGAGTCCGGGACACATGAAGAGCTAATGCAAATGACTGATGGGGAAGGTGGAGAGTACTACAAAATGGTGCAGTTGCAGCAACTAGCCACATTAAACGACGTCGCCAATACCCCTAGCCAAAAGACTGGAGGAAGAAGTAGCTATCGAAAGGGTACTACCCCACAAAGTCCATTCAACATGATCTCCAGTGCAGCCGCTACACCTGTTATGTACCCGTTTAGCCCAGCATTTTCCCGAAGTGCACCATTCTCAGCTCCTTACTCCGTTCAGTTTGAAGAATCCTATGAAAGTGATGATAGCCATTTCACAAAAGAGGTTTATCGAGCACCTTCACAATTGCGGTTACTGCAAATGAATGCTCCCGAGTGGGGCAGAGCCTTGCTTGGATGCATAGGAGCGATAGGTTCGGGAGCTGTTCAGCCAATAAATGCCTACTGTGTTGGGGCAGTTATATCTGTTTATTTCCGGACTGATAAATCCTCCATCCAATCCCACGCAAGGGTCTATTCTTTTGTATTCACCGGTCTTGCTGTTTTCAACTTCTTCACAAATCTTCTCCAACACTATAATTTTGCTGTCATGGGAGAAAAGCTAACCAGAAGGATAAGGGAGAAGCTGCTTGATAAACTCATGACCTTTGAGATAGGATGGTTTGATCAAGATGAGAACATGAGTGCAGCCATATGTGCCCGGCTATCAACTGAAGCAAACATGGTTCGTTCCCTTGTGGGAGACCGCATGTCACTGCTAGCTCAAGCATTCTTTGCTGCTACATTTGCTTATACATTAGGACTTTTCCTAACATGGAAGCTGGCCCTAGTGATGATGGCAGCTCAACCCTTGCTCATTGGAAGCTTTTACGGGAGAAGTGTTCTGATGAAAAGTATGTCTGGTAAAGCACAGAAAGCTCAAAGGGAAGGAAGCCAATTAGCAAGTGAAGCTGTTATTAATCATAGAACTATAACTGCTTTCTCATCTCAGAGAAGGATAGTAGGGCTCTTTAAAGCCACATTAGAAGGTCCTAGGAAGGAAAGCATCCGACAATCTTGGTACGCCGGTGTAGGTCTGTGTAGCTCTCAATTCCTAGCTGCAGCTTCTACAGCTTTAGCATACTGGTATGGTGGGAAGCTATTGTCACAAGGGGAAATATCCCCTGAGAAACTTTTTCAAGCATTTCTAGCACTGCTTTTCACTGCGTATACAATTGCTGAGGCAGGAAGCATGACAAAAGATATATCTAGGGGAAATAACGCCGTGGGTTCAGTCTTTGCAATCCTCGATAGAAACACCGAGATTAATCCAGATCATTCGTCAGCAATAGATGCAATGAGAACACAAATAAGGGGACATGTGGAGCTGAAAAGAGTATTCTTTGCTTACCCATCAAGACCAGACCAGCTGATTTTTAGAGGATTAAGCCTCGAGATAAGTGCAGGAACAACAGTAGCATTAGTTGGACAAAGTGGTTGTGGAAAATCAACTATAATTGGGCTTATTGAAAGATTTTATGATTCAGATAAAGGATCAGTCTATATCGACGAAAAGGATATAAAAGACTACAACTTGAGATCGCTGAGGAAAAGTATTGCATTAGTTAGCCAGGAACCAACTCTCTTTGCAGGAACTATCTATGAGAACATTGCCTATGGAAAAGAGAACGCCAAGGAATCTGAGATAAGAAAGGCAGCAGTGCTTGCTAATGCTCATGAGTTTATAAGGTCAGCTATCCATATCATCACAAATTTATTTGAAGTTTTGAAGTTCTTTCAGCTGCATAACAAATTTCAAATATCAAAGGACATTTGCTAAACAAAGCTATTGCACAAACTATAAACTTACCATTAATTCGCTTACTTTTGTGATCAGTGGGATGAATGATGGATATGAAACTCAATGTGGACAAAGGGGAGTGCAGCTATCAGGAGGTCAGAAACAAAGAATAGCCATTGCCCGAGCAATACTCAAGAACCCAAAAATCCTGCTGTTAGATGAAGCAACTAGTGCTCTTGACACTGTATCTGAAAGCGCAATCCAAGAAGCACTAGAGAAGATGATGGTTGGTCGAACATGCATTGTTGTGGCTCACCGCCTGTCCACTATACAGAAAGCTACTTCTATTGCTGTCATCAAGGATGGAATAGTTGCAGAGCAAGGCTCGCATTCAGATCTACTTTCTATAGGAAAAAATGGCTCATATTATTCTCTGGTAAAATTGCAAGGGGGAAACTCTCCTTACAGGTAAACTTCAAAAACATGATAGTAGTGTCTCATATAAAGGAGCTTGTCTTATGCAACACTTGCCACCATTATTGTAAATTTGAGATAGGGTACTTTTCCACTGAATATTTTGATTCCATTTCATGTATTTCTTCCAATAAATGTTACTCCGCTAAATTATTTCATCTGGTTGAACAATCTTAATAGCAACTCAAATCTCCTTCCACTTCAATTCTCAAAAACTTCAAATGTAGAACGATGAAAAACGAAATCCATAAAGATGGGATCAATCATACAACTAATTTATATTCAGAAGTGTTGTCAACTGCAGAACGACAGGGTGAGATCAACATCATATTCTTTTCCTTTAGGCAAATGGCATCACATTTTGGCTTTCATAGCATCCGCTAAGAATAAACTAATCATACAAGTACGTAAAAGAAAAATTATCATATCCAAGAATAAAGATAATTAGGTTACTACGTAAAACAAGCCAGCTCAAAAGAAAGGAAAGCGAAGATTAACAGTAACTTAGGGGCGGATGCAGTGTACAAGATACGGATTCATCCGAACTCAACAGTTTTGGCTCAACCTCTGTAAATGCGGTAAAAAACCCACTAAATGAGTACAATAATATATTTCAAACTCAGTAAATGAATTAGTCTGTGATAGAACTTCAAACACAAACTCATAAAGTTCAAATTCCCTGCTTTTGCACTAACTAAATAGTTTGTACATTACAAACAAGTAACTAACCAAAGAGAAAGTAAGAATGACAAAACAAGTAAGTATATTATTGTTTACAACAAAAATTGTGTCTTGTACCTGATTCGGGTCGCCACATTGACCCCAAAAAAACCGCCTTAGACCCATTTGAAACCGCCTTAAATGCGGCATCCCAAAGCATTTTCTGATTAATCTCCAGCATCCAACTCTTATGGGCTTCTTTCCCGTGACCTTGATTAAAAGCCAGAAATTGTGGTGTTACCAATAGGGAATCTGGTGTTTTTACAATAGAAAGATCTACTAAGATTTATGTCATCATAATGGACACACCTTTGTCCTTCATCTTGTTGTTTAAATTAAGCTGAAAGGACAGTGAGCTAATATTGGATCTTGTGGAATTAGAAGATTTTTCTGCACTATGGAACGCCAGGCGCTCGCCCAATAGTCCCTTGTATTTCAAATTCACTAATTAGCGACTCTCAAAATTCTTTTACATTAAAAATTGTGAATAACTCAAATAATGAATTATAGTATCTACATAGAACTTTTTTACACCTTTGATCCTTTTTTTAATTATTATTTTAAAAAATAGCATCACTTATTGCTTATTTAATAAAGAGCACATTTTTTTATTATTAGCATATTATAAAAATTAAGCTCAATATTTAATAAGTTAATTGACTCACTAATCACAGGAAGTACTTTTTTTGTCCATCTCAATTCTCCCTTTCCAACATTCATCTTCTTCACTCCATTTTTTAAAATCTGATACATATGTGAATGCCACCTAAATTCAAAATATATTGATTTATACGTCTTTTATACTTTGTATATCAAGTAACACTTTAATTCAAAATGTATTTTTATGTATATAATTTTTGTATAGTTATTTGTGAAGTGCCATCTTATGTTAAGATGTATTTTTAATGTACACTTCATATATATTTTATATGTCAAATGCCGTTTTAATTCAGGATGTATTTTTTATGTATATTTATATGCCATCTTAATTAAATTTAAGATATATATTTTTATGTATATTTCACATGTATAAGTGTCATCTTAATTGAAAATGTATTTTTTTATGTATATTTTATATGTGTTAATTCAATGTATATTTTTTATATATACGTTTTGTATATATTAACATATATTATTATCGAAGTAAGATCTTTATGTTAAGAAAGGAAGAAAGAAGGATAAGAAAGATAATTAAAAAGAAAACGAATGGAACAAATTTAGAAAATATATTGGTTTCGACAGAAAACAAAATTAAGAAGTTGAAGAAAAAGAAGGAACGCTAATAGATAAAGAGAAAAAATGCATGATTTTTGTACAAAGAATTATTGACTTTCCATTCAAATTGCTTATCTTTACGGATTAATAATTAATATTCCTATTTTAATGGAACTGTGTGCTACAAATATAAATATTTTTTTGCCACAACTGTAATATTGGGTTTCATGGTAAGAATTTGTTATATTTTTTTAAATTGGGACAGTTATGTAAAGTTCCCTGTTGCATATTTACTAATTAAGAACATCGTGAGGGTGAACATTTCTTCTTTGTCTCTCAAAATTATTATACATTTATTACTTTGCTATTTAAAAGTAATTTTTCATTTAATCACCAAGGAGTAATATTTTAAAACAGTATTGATAATATTTATTTACTTTTAGTGAGGTGAAATATGCAGTTTGATAATATTTTTTAAGAAATTATGATTTTTAATTGTTTGAAAGTTACGACGATATAGTTGATTTATATTTCATAGTAACTTTAACAGTATTGCAGCATTTATACTTGTAAAACATGCTAGGTATTTTATTTTCTACTATGATTTTAAAAAAAAANTGTGTGTGTGTTATAATGCTATATTATTAATTTATAACTTAAAAAATTTAAAGAGTTGTGGGACTTACGCCTCATGTAAGGAGGCTTATGCCTCGCCTCATATCAAGTAAAACGCCTCGCCTCGCCTCACGCTCCCGCTCCCGCTTCTTAAAACATTGACCTACATACAAACCTTAATTCTTATACAAACCTTAATTTGAGGTATTACATTCACTGGCCTTAGTTATTGTCTTGGACAATTAGCTTGAAATCCATTTCTAGTGTACCGAGAAAATAACTAAAGTAACTACTGGGATTACATTTGATCTAGCTAGATATTGGCCTGATTAAAAAGCAATAAGCAGTTAACTTGAAAAGCACGATGTTGCGAAAAGGAGAATCACAAAACTAGCGGGACATAATCATTGAATGCAGTACGAATTCCACAGAAATAGAGCCCATTTTCTTTTCCCTATAAGAGTGCAACACTGCATTCACGAAAATAGCATCACCGGGATGTGTTCATTTCTTTCCTATAGCTAGTGATAAGCAGAGGTGAATATATATCGGTAGATGTGTGTTTAACCAAACCCAACTTTTCTACTTAGATCACAGATATATGTGTGAGAAATCTTGAAAATCGTATGAATTTAAGATTTGAACTCATTTTCACTAAAATTAAAATCTTGTATTCTATTAAATATAAATCTTAGATTCGCTTTTACGGTACTTTAAGAGTCAAATGATACCAATTAAAATGGTAAAACCTAACTATATGCTACTGATATCTTAATGGTGATCTTGTGGTGTGTAATTGAATCAAGCAATTGCCTCGCTGGTCACGTCCATGATCGCGATTTGAATGTGGTTCAACATTGGCTTGATGTTGTCACAGATCATTCCAACCAATTGTTATAGAAATAAAATGCTCCTCTTACCAATGTCTGAGCATTTTTATACCATGTATGTGCATTTGATACTCTTTTTTCATTTTATATGGCTATATTATATTTATCTTTGGAGATATTGGATTAATACTTACATTTATTTCTATATCAAGAGAACTTCGACATTATAATTGGTGACAATTCAGTAATTAGAGTTAAGTTTCCCAAACTGTAAAGAGTTAAACCCATCTTGTAACCTCAAAAGCTGATTATCATTTCACTGGCTAATGCATTGTTATGCTTTTACATTATGATTCAATAGGGAATTATACTTCTCAAGACATAGATATTTCAAGATTTTCGTGAGACCAAGCAACTAAAATAATATTCAATAGTCAGTGATTGTCACGATCCAAAATCACGTGATGGTACTTGGCATACTATACAATTCGTGTGGACCAACTCGCATAAGAATACACATCTATATGCCTAATAGATGCATGCGGAACCCTTTTAGAAAACACGATTATTTTAAATAATTAGGACCATATATGAAACATAATCTTTAATTCCACCATTTTCATAATTAAAAGGCAGAATACATCGCAGCCCCTTAAAGTTATCCATATTTTTCACCTAGACACTCTATCTTAAGTCTGTTTCATTTAACACTCTAACCACATTTCAAATGTGCCATTTAGACACAAAATTGATAAGCAATCAAACATAAAGCATACAAGTAATTCGAACACCAGAGTGACAAATAAGATAGGGACACGTAAATTTTTAAAAAAGCTTTTGAAAAAAATATAAAAGAGAAATAAGAACCCCATCCTTTAGTCATCTTCCTCGATGACCGACCCCCATCCCCCCCCCCCCCCCCCCTTCCCCTGCCAAAAGAGAATGAACGAAGGACCACGGATGTCATCTTATCCACTCTCACCTCTGCCACCATTCTTCTGCAACATTAAGAACAAGCACTAGACTTAGAAACCAACTAACAATTTCTCTTTTCATTGATGATTAACCTCATCAGATGCCGCAGTAAATTGATTTACTAAATTCAATACCTAATAACAAATGGGTAAACTTCATCATCCTCTTTGTTTCAATCGAGAGCAATCAATGAAAACTCAGATCAATGTCAATTTTTTTTTTGTTGAAAATCCTTTCTTTTAATAATTGTTTGAAATCTTTGACCAAAAATGATTCACTGGTGATCACGACCTCCTCCACCAACTCGCCGTCGACCAGGTAGGCGTTATGTTCTCTCTTCTACTCGTTTTTCTCATCTTGTCTTCTCTCCCTTGATTTTTCTCCATCTCCTCTATAGTTTTATCTGAGTGCGAATGACGGAAAAACTTTATCTTTTACGACTGAATTATAATGAAGATGTTCTTGTCTTTTAAAGCATAATTCCCACTGAAAATTTGGGAGGGCGTTTCACTGCTATGACTGCAGACATTGGCAGTAACTACATTATGCGCACAAACTGTTTGATGAATTGTCACAGCGGCAATCCGACATAGCTGGTGAAAACTATAACAATAAGGTGATGGTGGTGGACTGGTGGAGGGAGAGAGAGGACGAAGGTGGTGACATGGACATGGTGGGCGAAAGAATAGGAGGAAAAAGAAAGAGAAAAGAAATTTTAAAAAGAAAAATCGGATCTCTCACGCTCCGAAAAATGGTGTAATACACGCACTATGCCACATCACCCCCGTTTTGTCTAAATGACACATTTGATATGTGGTTGGAGTGTTCAAACGGAACGGATTTAAGATAGAGTGTCTAAGTGAAAAATGTGGACAATTTTAAGGGGCTATTGATGTATTCTGCCTAATTAAAAACACATAAAGATAGGACTATTTTTTTCGTGCATTTAATATAAATAAATCTCAATTACAGTCCAAAGTAATGACAATTGTCTATGCAACCTCTAAGATACAAGGATGAAATAAATATTTGGGATAAATCCACAATCAAAAGAAGTAAGATCAACACGGGAGCTACCACGAAATAGAAGCGGTTCCTCACATATACCTCGGGAAGGGAGTCTTCGTAGCCTCATCTTCTCATCGCATGCCACATCTCATCCTGAAAATATGTAAAGTAAGTGGGCCCCTAGATAAGGGCCCTAAGGGCTGAGTACACCACCATAGTAATCAATAAGTGTCATAGACTATCTCTTAACTCTAGTTCCTAAACAAGGTTTTACAAAATATGTGCAACCAGCACTTTATATAAAGGGATAAACCATTGCACCAGTTCATACTCTATAATTTTAAATAAAAAGACTAGTAAAATGTAAATCATGTCACAAACTTTTAAAATATTTCTATCAACCCATTATTCTAATAAAAATTATGCAAAACCATTTCAACTTTATTAAGTCATTGAGATCACTTTCGGCTCTTTAGGCCTATACATAACAAAATCATCTTTTACATTTCACCGGAACTACTATACCATCACTGACACAAGAAGGTCAACTAGGTTATGTATCTAGCGGCAAGTATCATATACCTTACTTGCTCATGTCGTCTCATCGCAGTACCGTACGAATCAACTCAGTCATGATAGTAATAACACAAAATAGCAACCCCCATCCCCAAGGAGGATGCTCTGTCGTAGTCTATACCACAAAGTGGTCATGTACGCCTAAGTCGGCACGTGTAGTTTAATGACGACAAACACGATATATTCGTAGTCCTCGGACACAAGTAACTCTCAAAACATTCGACACTC